CCCCCCCTCCCTAAGTTAAATGTAAATGCTCAATGAATACTTATTGATGAAAGTGATTTAATTACTTATTTTGAACAGAAGTGGAAGAAAGTGCATCTAAAACATAAACAATTGAAATCGATCAACTGTTGTAAGGATAGATCGTGCGCTTAAGTAAGAATACTAGTCCTTGCAAACTGTCTTAACCTCATTGTAACAATAAAATGCAGATTTTAAATAAGTCCTCATAACAAACCTGTGGAGTATTGCGAGGTTTACCATCGACGTAACCAGAGTTCGAGTTATATTTTCGATATTCACCATCCATATAGCGCTCGATGTGATAGAAAAGTGAAGAAGAATTTTTGGATTCCGGTGAGGGACTATTTATCAATGTGATGGATCCACGGCGTTTGGAATCAGGGGGACTATCGGGAGCGTCGTTTAAAATTTCAATGACCGACATTTGAAAGACATCGACCTGAGGGAAAGGAAAGACTGAACTAAGATTAGGAATTAAGTGGTCAAAGTTATTGATACCTAAATCGATACTTCTCAATTGATTAAAATGACCAACTGTCAAAAATATCGGAGATAGTATGCAATTTTAACGCAAGAAAGGCCTGAAGATGTTATGGCGCACAAAATGATTGCAGAAAAACACGGTTAGTGGGTCTGAAATGCGTTAACATGTGGAAATGGCTTAACTGTGCAGAGCCTGGGCCCGTAATTAGACCTAATAGTTCATACAATAGATTGTGAATGCTGGATTCCAACTAACACAATCAGATATAAGAGACCATGAGAGATGTCGTTGCAATTTATGTCTAATTAGACAGCTAATCATCTACCACTTATTTCAAGCCTGTATAAATCGGTTTATTTTGTCAATAGAATACCACCGGATGAGATAAAAGCGTTCTCCTTTTCTTTTCCTTGAGGCAGTTTAATAATGCGACAAGGTAGGCGACAAAAAACAATTATTAACAGCTAGGAAATGATAAAAGGATTATAACAAGTCAAGCATGAATCTAAATTTTATCAACTCGCTTACAAGTGCTGAAGCAAAGAAACCATAGGGAACCTGGAATATAATAATAGCGATAAACAAAGAAAACCCATGCTGCCAACGTAACAAGTCGTTGGGAGTACTTATATTTCCAAATGTTAGCCTTTTCAAAGCAAAGGAGTGGAATCTTAACCCATATGCGACTATGATTAATAATGTGCCGGAAAGTTCAAGGGAAAACTTTGCCCGAATTTAGATAAAATTGTGGAATCAATAATAAATACTTTCCATAAGTAACAGACTTAGTAGATACAGCTATTCCGAAAAATGGTACCATTCTTGATTAAAATAGTTACGAAAAAGGTAATAGGACCGCCAAATCTAACTAGTACAAAGAATATTAACTAAAAATGGCAACGTCCAAAATACATCTTGACAAAAGACACCTTTTTAGGCGGATCCTGTTTGTTGAAGGCTTCAGCCCATAATTTTGCTTCCATTTGAAGGCGAACGTCATCCATATATACGGAACTACTAACGGGGGAGATAAACCGCTTAGCGACATAATTTGAAGCCGCGCTCCAATCACCATTACTGGGAGCCTTCTTTCTATGGAAAAAATATTCAGTGCATAAAATTGGTCAACATGCCAAGATTGATATGAAACACTGACTTTTTACAATAAATGGGAATTTACAATCTATAACATTCCCGCATTGCTCCACGGTCGAATGGTTTATCTTCCAATTTGATCAAAATGTTGTCTTTGATCCATTTCTTTTTAAGGGCACTATAGCGATGACGTACAGCTGCTTGAGTTGGAGTTGATTTTAGGTCAAAATCTCTCCAAGGGTCAAGCTTATCAACATCTTTAAGAACCTTCTTCACAGCATATTGCCATAATCTAGCCCCTAAAATACAAAAATAAAATCGAAAATCAAGCATCAAACGAAAGCACAAACAGAAATTTGGCAAGAGTTTACCTGGGGAACCCACAAAGTCTTGCTCCCCTTGGCTACCCTTTATAGGCAACGAAGTCGTGTTCGAGTTCCAAACGTAAGGAACTCGAACAGAAGGGGAATTTGATACATCATTAGCTTCCATTTAGAGTTTGAATAGTATTGGTTTTGAAGTAGCAAACGTAGTTTAAACATGGATCGAATACGCAGGCTAGCCACAAATCGCCGTTTAATCACTCTTGATTACTTAGTTGCTCAAGAGTAATAATAAAATAGTTAACAGAAGTTCGTATTTGAACTAGTGAATATGTTGTGAAAGCTTGAAGTGAACAAAGCTTATGCGCACTAGGCTAAGTTCGTACTGTAGCTCGAATTACGATAAGACTATTGGGTACAAGACAAATATGTCCTAGGACCTTGAATTTGATGTACCTTGGTTACATTGGTGCATTAAAACTTCTCGTATATATTTTGGATCTTCCAAATTGAGAAAAATATTTCACTTATAATTATCTCACTTTAATAAATGTAATTTTAAATCTGCAATCGAAGAAATATTTATTTACACTTTAATTTGTTAGTTTACATTTTATATCATATTTGTTGTATTTCAAGAAAATATGTAGTGGGGTAATGCGGCATTTACTAACTTACATCATTTGAGCATTTTACACCCATTCTTGAACTGTCTTTGCCTTGTGTCTGGCGTAAGTTAAGTATGAAGTTGTAGGTTCGTATGATCAATGTAAGAGATTTGGTTTAAGATTAATCGATATTAATAAGTCAAGGCATAGTAGATAAAGCTCACATTCTGTAACAAAAATTTTATTATTATTATTTTCAGCTCCATTTTTATCATTGTTGCTAAACAAAAAGATATGATTGGGAACTCCGCAACAATAAGTCAGTGGGTGGAGCAAACAATTAGTATGTACAGGCACCAAAACCTCGAGGCAATTGAGCACACTGACCCCGAATTGAAGATTCGCTTAGGTGAATATACCAGGACAATTCTCCAAACCATGTGATATTCCTTTGTGTATAAATTGAATGCTTAGTTAAAATATAAATATACAGATGCCGTACTAACAAATTAAATAGTCATCTTTTAACTATATTTAGTGGAAATTTGACGCTTAAATGGTTAATGGATCCTTTCGAAAATACATTAATTCAGGTGACCGCGGCCTGTTGGAAGTGTGAGTTGTATGAAATTGATGACATAATATAAAACCACCTCGGCCTGTGTTGTCCGCGACCATGCAGCTAAATACATTTTTCTGAAGTGCCAATACACTGAATAGTGACTAAGGCAACTGTCTATCAGCGATCTTGAGGCCATTCTCGTACACAAATCAAGATGTGGAATAAACAGGAGTGTTTTAGGTAGCAACTTTTGAAGACACAGTTATCTGGAAAGGCACTTATTTGAAAATAATAGGTAAACTGACAGTCATAATACTAAGAAAAGCAAAGTGTTACTGAGTGCATAACATTACCAAGACTGAACAATGAAAACTCATGTGCACTCGAGCAGTCAAGACGGTGTTCCGTGTTACCCGTTGCATAGGTTGCAAGTGTGAGCGTGTTTGCAGAGACCACTTCACCGACCATCGATCATTAGTCGCCACAGCGAAGAGTAGCTCTAGTCATCTTTTAATGATTAGTCTTTTACATAGGGGCTCATAAACTGAAATAAGCGTTATGCAACCCATATGATCTGATTATCGATACTGCTGAGGTAGCCTCAGTAGTAGTATTGGAACAATATCCTGCAGGAAATTTTGCCAAAGAAGATTGTTGGGGTTTAGTGAAAGTCAATTTGCATAGCATCAGCCCAGTGTCAAGGACAAACGAAGTAAAAATATAAAGGCAACAAATCCAAAGTAATAATGATATTCATAGTAGGCAGAAATTTATATCAATAATCAATTTATTTCAGAGTAATGCCAATTGTCCCAAGTCATGTTTTACTCCGATTTATTAACCCAATGCTACACATTATTTAACAAATTATAAAGCAATCTACTGCTGCATGATTCATTTCAAGAGAAAAAATGCAAATGATGCTTTTGCGCCCATTATTGTAACTGCATGGATGATTTGACTAATAGTGCATTTGTCTTCAACTCCCTAGTAAATGTCGAGGAAGCCCATTGGTGCAAACAATGAGACTAAAATGACCACCCACATTAGTTAAATATAACTTTCAATGTCAATTAAAAAATTAGTTTCATGGGACACTGCTTCTATATCCAAAACGAAAGCTGGTGAATACAAGATATACAACCAATTAGTAAAGCTAAGAGAGGGACTTCTTATTTATATCTCTTCGTTCAACAACAGTTGTTGATTAATATCATGTAATAAAAAAAATGAAATCGCAACGAAGACACATACAGGGAATTTAGAATGTCATGTAAAAGTCCTTAACCACTCGGAACCACTAATTACCAAATGGAGTATTTGTTCCTTGAAGAATGAAATGCTAATAAACTCATATTTGTCGATCAATAAATTGAAGCAGCTTTTCGATTTAGCATGTTCTGAAAGCATTTTTCAGATGAGAATGTTAACATAATTATCCTTCATTTTTCAAGTAACGAAGTTTATATTGTGGGAAGAAATATTTCCGCAATAAAGTCATGTAATTTTAAGATCAAAGCTCTCGAGATGATTGAAGCAGAAATAATCGTCACTGTTTTGTTGAATGTGTGTGACGCTCTCGAAAAAGTTTGTTGATTGAGTAACCTAATCAGGGTAGCTAAAGACATCATATTTTGAGTTATTAAATAATGCTATAGAGATAAAATCTATCCCTTCTCACAAGACACATGCGGAAAATGTCACTAAGAATTTTTATTCCTTTATGCGTATCAATATATGTATATAAGTATTAGCATAATTGTACTTATTTGGTTTTAAAACTAGTTATAGGCGCTGTTATATGACAATATTAATAAGTTCCTAATGCGCTAATTTTTTGCTAAAAATGTTCTCAGATATTTTTGATCACCTTAGTAATAAATTCCTTCAATTAATGTTAATTTAAGCGGTCATTCTTGTGGAATTCTACCTGAGAGGATAAGATTATTTTTCTTAAATATGATCACCGTTGATCGATATGCTGATTTTATAATGACATAATTGCTAGACGCTCTTATAGCAATTAATCCTCATAAATTCAACTGTCCATATAAATTTAATCTTATACTATAACAAATCGCTAATTTTTTAATGATATATTAAAAATATCAATAAAATAAATGCTTCATATTTTACTTTACTAAATATACTTTCTCCAATTTGGAGTGCCCTTGATTCTGTTTGCTTCAAAGTTTAAACTCCATCTCTATCTTGTTTGAGGATGGATATCCAAAAAAATCAATGTTTATGTGAAAAAGTAAAATCCTCCCACATGCATTCTCTCCGTGATTGGACCTGCTTGAATGAAATAAAGTATACGGATTCAGTAGCTGCTCGGCAATCCGCCCAGATGCAGGAATATACTTGTGATGTTATTCTAAAAGAAATTCAAGCTCGTACTAAATGGGCTATGGAAGATGTTGATAAGAAAATAGGTATTCATTATCAAAAAATTAATTTAAATACCAGAGTTTAGACTAAACGATATCAAATTTTGGATGGGAGAGCTAACAAAACTTATTAAAGATAATGTTGAAGAAACTAAGGCATTAGAGGCTTGTATCGTTCGTCTAAAGAATGCATTAGAAGCTACTAAGGAACCACTATGTCTAGCTAGAAAATGTATTGATATAAGGTAATTGACTATGAAGTTCTTATATCATAGAGAGTGCCGAAATGGTATTGATTTAGTTGCTGATAATGTACACTACGAACTAGCTAAAGAGATAGATATCTTCTGTGGAATTCAACAGTTGTTGATTCGCACGATTGAGCAGGCCGAAGAGCAGCTAAGGTAAACATTATTTTCCTTCTTTTCGGTCGTAGATTAAATCGAAAATCTGCATATAACCTCAGACGGGACTATGAAAGCAAGGATACCGCTAAAAAACAGGAGGAACTAGCTAAGGCGATATCAGGTTATGAAAACACCATAGCACTTGATAAGTGCTGTCCCCAAGCTAATTCTATCAGCCCCAGTGAGTGGGTGATTTCTGTAAAGAAAAATCTGCAAGAAGGTGAAAGACAGATCCACAACTCCCTACAACTGCGCGGTATCATAGAAAATATTCTTAACCAAATCTACGAAGATCAGATCAAACAGATTGAAGCAACCAACCGAGCAATCAGAAAACGAATAGATGAGATTCGAGACGCTAAACACGCAATTGAAGAAAATATCGGCTCGATAATGAAGCAGATACTTGAAATTGAGGAAAACATTACTAAACTCAAAGATGCGATTTGCAACATTCTAAAAGTAGCTCAAATAGTTGAAACTAAGCAGAATGTTAGAGACTGTCGACCGGTGAATGAGCGTACTAAAGATGCACCTTATTACAGGTAATAAGTGATTCAAACTTGAATTTGCCCCATAGAATGCTGGAACAAAAGAATGATCTGCGAAACGACCTATCCATCCTTCATAAAAAAATTCACGACTCAGAAGTGGAGTTGAAATCACTTAGACGAAGACAACTTGATCTCGAAGAAGAAATTCAACTAAAATCAAAAACACTTCATATTGAAGAGGTTCAGGTTCAAAGCATTAGACCAAGTATCTTGATCCAAAAATTCTAAAATTCTCCTTCACTAAATATAGAGAAATATCGATTATAGTAAGAAATTTATTTTCAAAAAAAAACGATGACAGTAGAGGCTTAATTTATTTTCTATACATAACGCACTCAATCATCATCCTTTTTAAGGCTTCCAAAAACGGCAGATGGAATTGGTTGCTTTTCAATTCGTAGACCTAAAAAGAAAAAAAAGTAAAATTACCAAAACTCCATTAGATAATCCAAATCAATAGCAGGGATAGAGTAGCAAAGAATAAATAGACATCAACTGAGAGAGAAATGTAATCGCGAATGCCCACTAATGAAAATAGTCGATTAACTTACTTAATAGAGGGCAGAATTTGAGTTTATCAGGGACTCAACTACTCAAGATAAGTATCTCACAAGAGCCATTCTCAGGGGAATCAAAACCTCTTACCCAAACGAATAGTCGTCATTAAGCGAATCCCAATTCCAACTACTGCGGTCGAACAAAATTTTCAAAGTGTTTAGGATAAATCATAACCAATTGAACCTAAGCTTCATATAATGACTTAGAACAATTTTAATTTTGTCGGAGGATTGAGAAACCGGTCTATTTTTCGATCTCCTGAGCAATGAACTCGGATATAAACCCACATACTACTCTTCAATCGACCTAGCAACGAACTTAAACCTAGGGTTCCCTCGGATCGAACCTAAGCAAACGCTTGCTGTAAACTAGACATACAGAAAATGAATTCGAATAAGGTAATCAACATTCAGTTATTAAAGTGACGTTT